TGCTACAACAACGAAGACTCGGCATACCACACACTAATTCAATGCACCTACTCAAGACACATCTGGAAATACTTTGAATGGATATTCAAAATACCATGGCAACCCTTTCATGGAATAAACACATACCTTCAAAGCTGGTGGGCCAATTTCAAAACAACCAACCTTCTGGATTGGATCAAAGGCATCCTACCAGGAATCATTCTCCATAACATCTGGAAAGAAAGGAATAGAAGAATTCACAATAACTCACACTGGTGCAATCGGAAACTAATACAGGAATGTGTGGGTCATCTCCAAACTTGGATCGTCAGCAGAGCTCCAAAAAAACTGAAGAAACCACTAACCTGGAGACTCCCGGAGGAAATTACGTTGATTCAACCGCTCTCACACCACCCCAAAATCCACAGATGGACTAACATTCCGGAAGACTGCCTTCATCTCTCAACAGACATCTCCGTCTCTAATGGCAGAATGCTCAGCGCCGCAATCCTGCGCAATGGACTTGGAAAATTTATGGCGGCAAGTACCTGGAAACTCTGCGTAACTAACCCCCTGGAAGGAGAAGCAATGGGTCTACTATTGGGCCTAACATGGGCTAAACACTTCTCGGAAAATATTTGGGCCCATTCGGGCTTGGAGATCACCGTCAAAGGTATACACAAACATTCAAACCCGGGTTTAACTCCCGACCTCTGGATCCGCCTCTATGAAGCGTCACAACAACAAGGTACCAAAATCAGACACATCCTGAGAGAAGGCAATTTGGGAGCACATACTTTAGCAAGATGGAGTAACAAACACTATGTTTTTTCATCTTGTATCTCTCTTTCCACTCTTCCCACCTTTGTCAAAGGAGCCATTACGGCAGATGTAACTCTTCCTTTTATTCGTTAAATAAATATCCTTTTCATTATATATATATATATATATATATATATATATATATATATATATATATATATTATTGAAAAAGAGAAGGAAATAGTACAAGGGGAGGGATGGGACGGGTCCCTACAAGCTGTCCCAAAGTAGAAAGAACATACCAAAACAACAAAAAAAAACCAACCAAGACAAAGCAAAACAAAAGAGCACAAAGAAAGGGCTAGGAATCTGCCTCAATTACCCATCAGATCATGAATTTTGGAGACCCACAATGTCTTCCATCTCTTTAAAATTTTGCTTAGCTCCAAGCATGTTTTTGTGAGCCATCCAGCAAGGAGCAGGTTCCTTTCGCCAGTAAATTTAGAAAGACCAGCAAGGATTGATAGCCCCCTTGTAGAGAATCCCATCACGAGGTATGTCGACCTCTAATTTCCTAAACTAGATTCCTTCTATCCATTAAGAGATAGATGGCTATCCTTCATCAACCTCCATCAGGTCCCCTAATTCAGACAGACCCTTGCTGATGAAGCTCAAAACCCAACAATTGCAACAAACCTAAAAAATCAAACAGAAAACTGCTGCCCAGTTCATCAAAACCCCTAGGTCAATTCCCTTTGGAGGACCAAAACAGCAAAAAAAAAAAAAAAAGGACCAAGAAACTGAAAATGACCCATGCCCAGAATGTAATCCTATTCAATCCTGTTCTCCGCATAAATGAGCTAGAACGACATTCATATCTTTTTTCGCATAAGCAAAGTACACCGGATACCTTGCACCTTCCATAGTTGTTGCATCAATATACTCAAAACTTTTGATTGCCTCTCTTGTAACCCTTAACGACTTCCTCTGAGTAATTGAGGATCTGTCCTTTGTTGAGAGCATCCAAAAACTGTTTGCTAGCAATTGATTTCCTGAAGAGGTTAATGTTATCCTTGATAACTTGATGAAATATATCCAGACAGCCCTGGTCTAAAGGAACCTCTGCCAATGGTGTGGGCCTTTGCAAACTTTCCATCTCTTTCTCTATAGTGAGGTCTATAATTAGCCTGCTTTCAATATTATTCTGTTCTTCATCATATCTAGCATCAGAAGAAACTCCATGATAACATCTCCACCCCTCATCTTTGCAAGCTTTAACCGACCCAAGACTTTCTTGAAAAACATTTTGCAGTGGCTGTGGCAGGTGCTTGCTAAATCCATTCGAGTTCCTCACTAATTCATACAGACCCTTACTGAAAAGTTTTAGCCCTTCTAAGTAGAAACCCGCAGGGATGATAATCTGATTACTCGAAGACCCTGTTTTTGACGCTAGGCGTGCAAAATGTCCAAAACGATTTGAATCCCAAGAAACATTGACAGAAAAATCCCCATCGTATCTAGATATTTCCCAATTTTCATTTGAGAAATCACGCCTAGTAATATTATCGATCAACTAGTGTGCAATAGCCCAAGAGATTGTTAAGAATCGTGTTTTACCTGATTTGGATTCTGAAATCCTGATGCACTGCCCTTCAGCTAAAAGTTCAAAATCTTTGCTCTCTATTGATAGTGTAACCAGACCATCTGCACTGACTTTTGGACCCGAGTTCCGGCGCTTCCAGTATCTTCGTCTCTCCGATTTCTTCCAAACCCTATTATACTGGAGACTCGCTGGGCGAGAATAGATTGGCTCGCCATAGTATCTAGATCGGCCAAGGTTCCAGGCCTGTTGCCGGAGAGGACCGCCACCCTCCCCTCTCTCTCTAAAATCCCTAAATCCCATCTGATATATATCATATATATATATATATATATATATATATATATATATATATATATATATATATATATATATATACGGCCCGGTTCTAGTGCCACCGGGGAACGGTGCCACTAGCGGTGTCATTGCGTTTTTGGGGCAAC